GGGGATAAATGAGTGCTATTCTAGCTGGCAGTCAGTGACTAGTGGTGTGCCTCAGGGATCGGTGTTGGGACCGCAATTATTTACAATTTATATCGATGATTTGGAGTTGGGGACCACGTGTAGGGTGTCAAAGTTTACAGATGACACTAAGATGAGTGGCAGAGCAAAGTGTGCAGAGGACTGTGAAACTTTGCAGAGGAACATAGATACATTGAGTGAGTGGGCAAAGGTCTGGCAGATGGAATACAATGTAAATAAATGTGAAGTCATACATTTTGGTAGGAGTAATAGTAAAAAGGATTATTACTTGAATGGTGAAAAGTTGCAGCATGCTGCTATGCAGAGGGACCTGGGTGTCCTTGTGCATGAATCACAGAAGGTAGGTCTGCAGGTGCAACAAGTAATTAGGAAGGCAAATGGAATTTTGTCCTTCATTGCTGAAGGGATTGAAATAAAAAGCAGAGAGGTTATGTTGCAGCTGTACAAGGTGCTGGTGAGGCCACACCTGGAGTACTGTGTGCAGTTTTGGTCTCCTTACTTGAGAAAGGATGTACTGGCACTGGAGGGGGTGCAAAGGAGGTTCACTAGGTTGATTCCGGAGTTGAGAGGGTTGGCTTATGAGGAGAGACTGAGTAGATTGGGATTATATTCATTGGAATTCAGAAGATTGAGGGGGGATCTTATAGAAACATATAAAATTATGAAGGGAATAGATAAGATAGAAGTAGAGAGGATGTTTCCACTGGCAGGTGAAGCTAGGACAAGAGGGCATAGCCTCAAGATTAGAGGGAGCAGATTTAGGACTGAATTGAGAAGGAATTTCTTCACCCAGAGGGTTGTTAATCTATGGAATTCCTTGCCCAGTGAAGTAGTTGACGCTACTACAGTAAACGTTTTTAAAGAAAAGGTAGATTTTTTTTGAACAATAAAGGAATTAAGGGTTACGGTGAGAACGCGGGTAAGGGGATCTGAGTTCACGAAAAGATCAGCCATGATCTTATTGAACGGCGGAGCAGGCTCGAAGGGCCAGACGGCCTACTCCTGCTCCTAGTTCTTATGTTCTTATTTCTGTATTCTCCTCCAACTCTACAACCCTCTGAGATCAATGTGCTCCTCAAACTCCGTCCTCTTGTTTGTTCCCAATATTGGTTGCTTCACAACTAGTAGTTGTTCCTTCAGTTGTCTAACTGAACAAACCTGGAATTCCCTTCCTGTATTGTTCCACCTCATTTTCCTCTTTTCGGTCGTTAAAACTGAACCTCTTTGACCAAATATTTAGCCATTTGATCTAATATTGTCTTGTGTGGCTCAGTGTTATGTTCATTTTATAATGCATCTGTGAAGCCTCTTGGAACATTTTCTTTCAGCAAATGTTCTTTTTATAAACTTGGGTTTGTTGGTTACTGCTGCCTACCAATACTAGTGCATCGTTTAGTACAAAACCGTATGACTTATTCAGATCAATTAGGCTGCTCCAAAATTCAGTGTTGCATGGAGCGTAATCATTCCAAAAAATGGAAGTTCTCACAGTCAACTTCTATTTGTGATTTTTGTAAATGATTTGGACGTAGGAGTGGACGGATGGATTAGGAAGTTCGCGGACGATACAAAGGTGGGTCGAGTTGTGGATAGTGTGGAGGGCTGTTCTAGGTTACAAAGTGACATTGATAGGATGCAGAGCTGGGCTGAGAAGTGGCAGATGGAGTTTAACCCTGAAAAGTGTGAGGTGATTCATTTTGGAAGGACAAATTTGAAAGCAGAATACAAAGTTAACGGAAAGTTTCTTGGCAGTGTGGAGGAGCAGAGGGATCTCGGGTTCATGTCCACAGTTCCCTGAAAGCTGCCACCCAAGTGGATAGAGTTGTTAAGAAGGCGTATGGTGTGTTAGCTTTCATGAATAGAGGGATTGAGTTCAAGAGCCGTGAAGTTATGCTCCAGCTATACAAAAGCCTGGTTCGGCCACATCTGGAGTATTGTGTCCAGTCCTGGTCGCCTCATTACAGGAAAGATGTGGAAGCATTGGAAATGGTGCAGAGGAGATTTACCAGGATGTTGCCTGGAATGGAGGGAAGGTCTTACGAGGAAAGGTTGAGAGAGCTAGGGCTTTTCTCTTTACGACGACAAAGAATGAGAGGTGACTTGAGAGAGGTGTACAAAATGTTCAGAGGTATAGATAGAGTGGACTGCCAGAGACTTTTTCCTCGGGTGGAGGTAGCTATTATGAGGGGGCATAGTTTTAAAATAAGTGGAGGTAGATATAGGGGAGACGTCAGAGGTAGGTTCTTTACTCGGAGAATGGTAGGGGCGTGGAATGCATTGCCGGAGAGGGTAGTGGAGTCGGCCTCATTAGGAGCATTTAAGCAGCTATTAGATAGGCATATGGATGATAGTATAAGGTAGGGGTTGAGGTTAGATAGACCTTAGGTTTAGGGTAAAAGTTCGGTACAACATCGTGGGCCGAAGGGGCTGTACAGTTCTATGTTCTATGTTCTAACCAGCAGAGCACAAAGGTAAGAATGGTGTGGTTAGTGATGATGGTTTGATTTTTCCTCTTTCCAGGAGTGAACTATGCATTAATGTAACTTATTTTTAACTGTTTCAGAAAGCAATTGACCTCGTAACTAAAGCCACAGAAGAAGACAAGGCAAAGAACTATGAAGAGGCATTGAGGCTGTATCAGCATGCAGTGGAATACTTCCTGCATGCCATTAAATGTGAGAGTTCTCCATGGACATTAATGAACCAGTTGGGTTACCAGCTTTTTTATTTCCAGATTTATTTTTTCTAACTAAATTCAAATTCACAATCTGCCATTGTGGGATTTGAACTTGCATTCTCTGTATATATTTTATTTCAGGAAATGTGAGCAGAGCTGGCATGGCCAGCATTTGTACCCACCCCCAATTGTTTTTTGGGAATGTCATATTGTGCTGTCGCCTTGAACTGCAGTTCATCTGGTGTAGGTACACCCAAAATGATGGTAGGAAAGGAGTTGCAATTTGGCCCACTTCAGACAAGTTATACAACAAGCTCACCGCAAGCTTTGAGTCTAATACTTGCCCTATGTTGAATTAGTGGACCTCAGATTGGACATTGGAGGCACTGTATTGGACTTCAGTACTCTTGGATCAAAGGGAGCAGAGTTCAGGACTTCTCCTGAATAGTACTGAGGGACCGCTGAATTAGAGAGAGGGGAAATCAGCTGGTGTTCCTGCTCCTGATCATTATTAAATGTCACCCTGCTGCTGACCACTGTTGACTGATTTGTGAATATGTAAAAGGTTGGCTAGATTGGTGAAATGTCAGCAGATATCCAGAGACAGGGTATCACTGGGTAGTGGAACTATCCCTCATGCTGTCACCAGTACAGGCAGGAAACATTTTCTGGTGACTTGTAACCAGGTCTCCCCTTCTGGGATGTTGGAGGCAGTGCCCCATCTTAGGGTTACTGTAGTCAAGATATTCCACTGTTTTCATTGCAGATGAGGCTCATGGAGAGAAGGCAAAGGAGAGTATTCGAGCGAAGTGTGTTCAGTACCTGGACCGTGCAGAAAAACTGAAGGAATATTTAAAAAACAAAGACAAACGCGGCAAGAAGCCAGTGAAAGAAACACAACAAAATGACAAGGGGTATGGATGGGGGTTCATTTGGGAGAAAAACTGGAATTATGGTCATATGCATGGCTAATGGAGATCGGCACATGCATTACTGGGAGTGGGAGGTTGGCAGACAGTTTACTTCCCTGGGTGAGCATCTGTTGGAGAGGAGCGGGTAGGCATGAACAATGTGGTGATGTGAGGTGGATGCATATTATTGGGTTGGATGAGGAGTGGAGAGGGAGTTACCACGAATTAGAAGTGAATCAGTTGGTACTAAAATTGGAAGTAAAGCGAACATTTTGCATGAGGGTGAGGGATTAATGGAAGAAATTACAGGGGAATGAAAGTCTGTGTCTGTGACAGATGATAAGGTGTGTTTTCATGGGCTTGTTCTCTTAGTGAAAGGTGGCTGGGTGAAGTTGAATATAGATGATACGTGTTACACTATTATCTCTTTGCTGTTTGCTGATTCTTTAATACTTTTGTAATTACCTTTTCATATTTAGCAGTTTCCTGTTTTTATATTTATTTGAACTTGCTATGTGTGAACCGTTTCCTTCCCCAACCCTAGCCATTTTCCTGCATTATTGCTGTCTGTGATGTTGCTGCAATTCACACGTTTTGATTCCTCCTCCCCTAGGAGCGACAGTGATAGTGAAGAAGAAAATCCAGAGAAGAAGAAACTGCAGGAGCAGTTGATGGGTGAGTGTAACGTGTTCTCATGCAGCCAGATACCTGCACCTTAGTCTACTTGGTCTTGGTGTTAGGGATTTTAAACACATGGTTGAGAATTTTGGAGGCATTGCTTAGCTGGAAACCAGTGTAGATCAATGAGCACTGAAGTTATGGATAAACAGCATTTGGAGTGAAATTGGCAGTAGAATTCCAGATGAGTTGATGGATGGAACAAATAAAAAGATGAATCAGCAAGCACTTTACATAGTCGCATTTTGAAAGTATGGATGAGGCTTTCAGTAGCAGATAAGCTGAGGCAAGGCTGCAGATGGGTGATATTTTGGTGATAGTGGGCTTGGTTATAGAGAAAGTATATAACAAAGCTCCAGGTAAAGTAGGATGCAGTGGATGTGAATAGCCTCAATTTTGGATGAGCTGCAGACTGTGGCCAGGGAGAGGGGCAAATTCAGAAGTAAGCGAATGGAATTTGTGGCAGAGATTGAAGACAATGGCTCAACCAGGACTGGATGCTACCTGAGACCCCTTGGGGATAAGCAGCCATAACATAACATTTTTTATTAAGGTGGAGACTGAGGTTTTTGATTCGGAAACTAGGATGCTGAATCTTAATAAAGGAAACTCTGAAGATATGTGGCGTATGTTGGCCTTGATAGATTGGGGAGAGTTACTTAAAGAGATGACAGTGGAGAAGCAATAGCAAACATTCAAGGACTGCATGGGGGAGCTGTAACAACTGTTTATTCCTGTCTGGCATAAAAGCAAAACAGGTAAGGGACCTATCCAAAGCTTACAAAGGAGATGAGAGATAGTATTTGATCCAAGGAAGAAGCATACAGATTGGCCAAGAAAAATAATATGTTTGAGAATTGGGAGCAGTTTAGAATTTAGCAAAGAAGGACCAAGGGATTGATTAAGAAGGGGAAAATACAGTACAAAAGTAAGCTTGCAAGGAACATAAGGACTGATGCTAAGCGTTTCTATAGGTATGTGAAGAGAAATAGATTGGTGAAGACAAATGTTGGTCTCCTACAGACAAACGGGGGAATGTATGTTTTTTTATTCATTAGCGGCATGAAGGCGTTGCTGGCTAGGCCAGCATTTGTTGCCCACCCCTAATTGCCCAGAGGATAGTTAAAAATCAACCACATTGCTGTGGGTCTGGAGTCACATGTAGGCCAGACCAGGTAAGGACGGCAGTTTCCTTCCCTAAAGGACATTAGTGAACCAGATGGGTTTTTCCAACAATGGACAATGGATTCATGGTCATCATTAGACTCTTAATTCCAGATATTTGTTGAATTCAAATTCCACCATCTGTCGTGGTGCGATTTGGACCAGGGTCCCCAGAACATTATCTGGGTCTCCGGATTAACAGTCCAGCAATAATACCACAAGGCCATCGCTTCCCCACTTAATAGGGGATAAAGAAATGGTTGAGGATCTTCAGAAAAGAGGACACTAATCAGATACCAGAAATGTTGCAGAATGCAAGATCTAGTGAGAGGGAAGAATTGAGGGAGATCAATATTAGTAGAGAAATGGTGCTGGGAAAATTGGGATTGAAGATCCCCAGGTCCTGATAATCTACATCCCAGAGTACTTAAAGAAATAGCACTAGAAATAGTGGATGCATCAGTGGTCATATTCTGGGATTCTGTAGACTCTGGAACAGTCCCTGCAGATTGGAGGGGGGCTAATGTCACACCAATATTCAAAAAGAGGGATAGAGAGAAAACAGGGAATTACAGACCTGTGAGCCTTGGGGAAAATTCTCGAATCCATTATGAAAGACTTTATAGTGGAGCATTTAGAAAGCAGTAGCAGGATCTGACAGAGTCAGCATGGATATATGAAGGGGAAATCATGCTTGACAAATCTGTTGGAAATCTATGAAGGTAGAGTTGACAAGGGGGAGCCAGTCGATGTGGTATAATTGGACTTTCAGAAAGCGTCTCAAAGTTTGCAGTTGATACCAAGTTGGGTGGGAGGGTGAATTGTGACGAGGATGCAGAGATCCTTCAGCATGATCTGGGCAGATTGGGTGAGTGGGCAAATCAATGGCAGATGAAATATAATTTGGGTAAATGTGAGGCTATTCACTTTAGAAGCAAAAACTAGAAGGCAGATTACTACCTGAAAGGCTGTAAAGTGAGAGAGGGGAGTGTGCAGCGGTACCTGGGTATCCTTGTGCACCAGTCGCTGAAGGTAAGCATGTAGGTACAGCAGGCAGTAAAGAAGGCGAATGGTATGTTGGCCTTCATTGCGAGAGGTTTTGAGTATAGGAGTAGGGAGTTGTTGTTGTAGGTGTACAGGACCTTGGTGAGGCGACACCTAGAATATTATGTGCCGTTTTGGCCTCCTTTTCTGAGGAAGGATGCTCTTGCTCCCGAGGGAGTGTAGCGAAGCTTTACCAGGCTGATTCTGGGGATGGGTGGGACTGACGTATGAGGAAAGATTGACTGGTTAGGATTGTTTTTGCTGGAGTTCAGATGAATGAAGGGGATCTCAGACTTATAAAATTCTAACAGGACTGGACAGGGTAGATGCAGGGAGGCTGTTCATGATGGTGGGTGCGTCCAGAACCAGAGGTCAGTCTGAGGGTTCAGGGTAGACCATTTAGGATGAAGATGAGATATTTCTTCACCCAAAGAGTGGTGAGCCTGTAGAATTCATTACCACAGAAAGTAGTTGATGTATTCAAGAGGCGACTAGATATAGCACTTGGGACAAATGGGATCAAAGGTTATGGGGAGAAAGCAGGATTAGGCTATTGAGTTGGACGATCAGCCATGATCGTGAAAAAGGGCAGCACAGGCTTGAAGGGCTGAATGGTCTCTTCCTCCTCCTATCTTCTATGTTTTCTAAGTTGCTATGTCTGAAAATCAAATTGTCAGTCAAACCAGATTAATAATTGAACAGAGCCATTCCACAACTTCATCCATTCATTTAATTGTACATCTCTTTAAAAAATGCATTTGTATGTTGGAGAGGCAGTGACATTGTGGTAAATGTCATTGAACTAACAATCCAGAGACCCAGGCTAATCTTCTGGCAATTTGTTTAGTCTGACCTAAATGTGATTCCAGACCTGCGGCAATCTAACTCTTAACTGTGCTCTGAAATGGCCTGGCAAGCCACCCATTTCAAGGGCAGTTAGGGATGTTGCCCCTTGCCAATGATGCCCAGATTATAGAATAAAGGAAATTAAAAAAAAAAATACTTTTCATGACTACAGGAGGTACCACTATAGAGCAAGAGTTACTTTTGAATTGGAATTGCTGTTGTATTTTGGAAATGGTGGCCAATTTGTAGGTGACAAACTCCCACAAATAGTCATGTGATAATGATCAGCTCAGTCTACTCAATCTCTTCTCATCAGACAGTCCTTTCTTACCTGGTATCAGCCTAGTGAACATTCTCTATACTGCCTCCGGTGCCAGTATATTTTTTTCCTAGATGAGGGGCCCAAAACTGCTCACAGTATTCCATCTCTGGTCTAAATATTACCTTGTATAGATATAGCAAAACCTCCCTACTTTTATGCTGCATTCCCTTTTGAAGTAAAGGCCAAAGTTCCATTTGCCTTCCTTATTACTCCCGAACTTAAAATGCTAGCTCCTTGTGATTCATGGATGAGTAGTCCCAAATCTCTCTGTCATAGCTTTCTGTGTTTTTTCTTCATTTAAATTGTATTCAGCTCCTCTATTCCTCCTGCCATAGTGCTTAATCTCAGATTCCCCCACATTTTATTCCATCTGACAATTTTTTGTCCTCTGACTTAACCTGTCTACATCCCTCTGCTGACTCTGTGTGACAATCTCACCAGTTGCCTTCCCACCCATTTTTGTGTCATCTACAAACCTCGCTGTTGTGCATTCACTTCCCTCATTTAAGGTTGCCAACCTGAAAATGTCCCACTTAACCCAACTCTGTCTTCTATTTGCCAACCAATCCTCTATCCATGCTAACATAGTAGCTCCAAAACCATGGGCGCTTCTCTCATTTAGTAGCCTAATACGTGGAACTTAATCAAATGCCTTTTGAAAATCCAATTGTGTTGCATTCACTGTTTCTCCTCTACCTAGCCTGCTTTTACTTCCTCAAATTATTCTATAGTAACTTTGTCAGACTTGTCTTCCCTTTCATTAAGCCATGCTGACTCTGCTTGATTGTATTATGCATTTCTAAATGCTCTGCTATTGTATTCTTTATAATAGACTCTAACATTCTCCCATTATCAGAGGTTAATCTAATTAGTTTATAATGTTTGTCTCCTTCCTTTTTAATTAAATGTGGTGCATTGGCAAGTTTCCAATACATCTCCAGAACTGAATTTAGAAGAATGAGAGGTGACCTTATTGAAACATTCTTGGGGATTTGGACAGGGAGGTTGTTCATCCGTTTGGAACAGTCTAGGACCAGAGGGCATAATATCAGAATAAGGAGTCCCACATTTAAAACAAAGATGAAGTGGGTAGGGAGTCTGGAATTCTTTACCACAGAGGCTGTCAAGGATGGTTTAGTAAGTATATTCAGAATTGAGATAGACAAATTTTGAGCCAGTAAGGGAATTGAGAGTTATGGGGAAAGGTAGGAAAATAGAGTCTTGGATTATTAGCTATGATCTCGAAATTTCAGACTAGACTCGAAGGGCTGAATGGACTACCACTGCTACTATGTCTTGTGGCCTTATGATCTAAGGCATAGCATATGAAATTTTCCATTTGCTTTCAAGTGTTCACATATTCTGTATTCTCATTTCAGATCACTTTTTTGAATAGATTAATGTATGCTTTTTGCACATTCTAGGCATTATCTTAAGTTGACGAAGGGTTTGTGAATAAATGCAAACCTATGGTATTATCACTTATTGGGGATTTCATGAATTTGTATCTTGGCTAGCAAAGTCTTCATATTTAAAAAAAAGACTTTGAAGGTTTCTGACAGTGTGTTTGTAACTTTGTTGTTAGCAGTCACAGTCTTGTTCCATTATAGGTGCTATTGTGATGGAGAAGCCCAATGTGCGATGGAATGATGTAGCTGGTTTGGAGGTAGCAAAGGAAGCCTTGAAGGAAGCTGTGATTTTACCCATCAAGTTCCCTCATCTGTTCACAGGTATGTTTTTATATTTCAAAGTTTTTTTGTCAGAGATTTATTTCTAACTCAGCAAGGGAGGTGATGGCCTAGTGGTTTCATCACAAGGACCCAGGTAATGTTTAATAGACCTGGATTCGAATTCTGCCATGACAGATAGTGGAATTTGAATTTGGTACAAATCTAGAATTAAGAGACTAATGATGACGATTTTTTGATTTTGATTTTATTGTCATGTGTATCGGAATACAGTGAAAAGCTTTGTTTACAAGTGGTACAGGCAGATCACAGCAAGCAAAGGGTTGCGAGTTGCACATTTTCAGGCTACGGTCCATTCAGCAGTCTGATAATGGCTGGAAAGAAGCTGGAGATGCTTTTCACTCTCAACCTCCATTCCGTTGCTGTAGATGGGGGTATGTTCTCCTCCTTTCTTTCTGAAGTTGATGATCAGTTCATTAGTTTTGCCGAAGTTGAGAGACAGATTGTTTTCATTGAACCACGTCACCAAGCCCTCTATCTCCCTTCTGTATTTTGACTCGTCGTTAGATATCCGTTGCACCTCGGTGTTGTCAGTGAACTTGTAGATGGCGTTCATTCAGAATTTGGTAACACAGTCGTAGGTGTGAAGGGAGCACAGAAGGGGGCTGAGGGCACATCCCTGGGGAGCTGCAGTGTTGAGTGTTATTGTGGAGGAGGTGCAGTTACCTATCCTCACGGTGGCCTATGGCTCAGAAAGCTGAGGATCTAGTTGCAGAGGGTGAAGCCGAGACCAAGGTCACGCAGTTTTGAGATCCGTCTGGAGGGGATAATGGTGTTAAAGCTGGAGCTGTAATCAATGAACATTTGACATAGGTGTCTTTGTTGTCCAGATGTTCCAGGGATGAGTGCACGCCTAGGGATATGACATCCTCTATGGACCTGTTATGTTGGTAAAGCCATTGTTGATTTTGGGAAAAACCTACCTGGTTCACAAAATGTTTTAGGGAAGCACATCTGCTATCTTTACTTGGGGCCTGGCTTACATGTGACTCCAGGCTCATAGCAATGTGGTACACTGTTAACAGCCCTCTGGGCAGTTATGGATAGGCAATCAGTGCTGGCCTAGCCAGCGATGCCTACATGTGAATGAATTTTTTTATAAAATCCCTGTTCAGTTTGCAGCCTGTGTGTTTCCTGCCTGTTCCCTATTTGCTGACAAGTCTTGAGTTACAGTCCCATGTTTGTTTTTTGTTTTCATCTTGTGTGAACAGTTCTGAGCAAGGGTCATTCTACCCGAAACATTAACTCTGATTTCTCTCCATAGATGCTGCTAGACCTGCTAAGCTTTTCCAGCAATTTCAGTATTTGTTTCTGATTTACGGTATCTGCAGTAAATTCACCAAAGATCTTCAGACAGCACCTTCCAAACCCACGACCACTTCCATCTAGAAAGACAAGGGCAGCAGATATATGGGAACAACATCACCTCCAGGTTCCCCTCCAAGTCACTCACCATGCTGACTTGGAAATATATTGCCGTTCCTTCACTGTCGCTGGGTCAAAATCCTACAATTCCCTCCCTAATAGCATTGTGGGTCAACCCACAGCGGGAGGACTACAGCGGTTCAAGAAGGCAGCTCACCACCACCTTCTCAAGAGCAATTAGGGATGGGCAAGAAATGCTGGCCAGCCAGCGACGCCCACCTCCCACAAATGAATAGAACAAAAAAGTTCTTTAGGTTTTTAATGAGGAACTATTGTTAGTCAGTAACAGCTGGGATTTGTAGAGCAATGTTTTGGATCCACAGCAGAAAGTTAAAGAAATTGGGTTCAAGGATGACTGAGATATGTAAAAGGGATCTGTAAGGATATGGGATTAAGGCTGATTGATTTGAAGGTCTGTAGCAAAAGCAAAATACTGCAAAAAGAATCTAAAATAAAATGGAAAATGTTAGAAATACTTAGGCAGATCTGTGCAAAAAACAATTAAATGTTCCAGGAGCTGTGGTTGTGAGAGGAGAAATAGGAAGATGGGGAGGATCAGTGTATGGCTTGAGGCATGGTGCAGGAGGAAGGGCTTCAGATCCTTGGGTCATCAGGGCCAGTTCTGGGGTAGGAAGAACTCATTGAACAGGACTGCACATCAATAGGACTGGGACCAGTGTGCTTATGGGAAGATTTACTTACATGTATTAAACTAAATTGGCAGGGAGTGGATCCGAATATATTGAGGTTGTAACAAGTAATAAGGTGCATAAAAGACTTGAGCATTTTGAATAATACTGAAGGATTGCTGTATTAATTAGGAACAGATTAAGAAGGATTACAAGAAATATAAGCATGGATGAAGTATAGTCCTGTCACAGTTGCTTAGAAGAGTGTTTTGGCCTGAACAGGAGTATTGCGTCCAGTTCTGGACACACTTTAGGAAGGATGTGAAGATATTTAGAGAGGGTGCAGGAAAGGTGCACAAGAACATTTCCTGGGCTGAGGAACTTCAGTTAGGCAGATTCAAGAAGTTGCGACAGTTTCTTCAAGAAAAACAAAGGTTGAGAGGAGATTTGATTAAAGTGTTCAAAATCATGAGGGACCAGGATTGAGTACATAGGGAAAAGCTGTTCCCACAGTGAAAGCATCATGAAGGAGAAGGCGCACAGATTTAAGGTAATTGTTGAAAACGGCAATGGTGATGTGAGGAAAGAATTTTTCACAAACCTAATGGCTCAGTAAGGAATGCAGTGTAAGCAAGTTTAAATGACTTGTTAAAAAGAGAATTTGTTTATTGTCTGAAAACTGTAACCATTCTGTGAGCAAGGCAGACTTAATAGCAAAAGAAATCCAACATATTTAATTTCTTTGTGTTCAAAGAAATTTGATTTAGGTTGGGTGGAATGTGTTGATTTAATATACAGAGAAAGATAGCTGAATCAAGTCAGCCTCTCCACCTCTGTATTCACAACACAGTAAAATTAAAACCTTCAAAGACATCAAAATTGACCCCCAAAGGTTCCTAACCAGTCTTCCTGAATAACTTTATGAATAATTGGTTCCAGACACTGGGTCTGTAGCTTAAACAAAAAAGACTTAACAATTTATTAACAATGCAGTAACTTTAGCAGGGCAAAATTAAAGAAAAATGTAATCTAATTAGTGTCTATGATTTAAACCCAATAACTTTTGTTTTCAGCTCTGTGCAGACAAACATAGTTAAGGGATAAATTTTAAAAGAAAACTTGTGATTTTCATAACGTGTTATTCCACAGGTGCATATGATTGTTTCTTGGTTGATTTTCTGAAGTTTACAATCAGTGCCACCTTTTCAGGTTACTGTGAGGAAGTTTCAGTAATATGTGTGACTTATTTTTTTATTCTCTGATGATGGGAGGTTTACAAATCTTCATGCTGTAGCATCAACAGCCAAAATCCTCTCTGAAACCTCCAGTTCAAAACCTGGTTCCTCCCTCAGTTTGACTATCATGTTCTCTCCCATACATGCTGGCATGAATTCCCAGGTTCTGACCTCATTACTGGCCAACCATCTGCTATCTGGTTAAACATACTGCTTGCCCCAGTATCAGAGTGTTTGTAGAATCCTTTGATCAAAGAACGATCTGCATTTAACTTCCAGGCCTGGCCTCACAAGCATTTTCATTTAAAGAGGTGGTTGCTCACAGTCCAATGGTCACCTTTTAGCTCTCAGCTCACAGTTCACAACTCCAAACCAAAACTGATATAAAGAATGAAGCAAAATACTGAAAAATCAGCAAGGGTTCTAAGAGTAACTGAATTGGTTGCATGATATGTTCCTTCTGTCCCTGAAACAATCTGTGTTTACTCTTGTCACAATTGATAAACTGCTGTCACTAACTGCTTCAATTCACATTGTGCCCTTTTCATTTTTGTAGGTAAACGAACTCCTTGGCGTGGGATCTTGCTTTTTGGTCCACCTGGTACAGGAAAGTCCTACCTGGCCAAAGCTGTAGCAACAGAGGCAAATAACTCCACATTCTTCTCTGTGTCTTCATCTGACCTGATGTCCAAATGGTTAGGAGAAAGTGAAAAGTAAGTGGTACCTCAAATATCTGAGCTTTGTAAATATCTGAGTAAAGACAGTTCCATCTCTCTGCTGAGTTTTAACAATAATTAAGTTTATAGAAGGTTCCCTTCACCATCTCCCACTGTCCAATGAGGTAGAGTATTTGGGAGGTACCTGGAAAATGCTATTACAGAGACTTTGTTAAGGGAGGGACAGGATTGGTAGCTTAACGTTCCAGGATACAGATGTTTCAGGTGGGATAGAGGGGGATGTAAAAGGGGTGGGGGAGTTGCACTACTTGTTAAGGAGAATATCACAGCTGTACTACGGGAGAACACTTTGGATGGCTCACATAGCGAGGCAATATGGGTAGAATTCAGGAACAGGAAGGGTGCAATCACAATGTTTCGGGTTTACTATAGGCCTCCTAACAGCCAGTGGGAGATAGAAGGGCAGATTTTGGCAAGATGTAAAAGTAACAGGGTTGTTCTCGTGGGTGGTTTTAACTTCCCATATATTGACTGGGACTCACTTAGTGCTTGGGGTCCGGATGGGGCAGAGTTTATAAGGAGCATCCAGGAGGGCTGCTTGAAACAGTATGTAGATAGTCGAACTAGGAAAGGGGCTGGACTTGACCTGGTATTGGGGAATGAGCCTGGCCAGGTGGTGAACATCTCAGTGGGGAGCAGCTCGGGAACAGCGATCACAATTCAGTAAGCTTTAAGGTACTGATGGATAAAGATAGGTGTAGTTGTCAGGTGAAAGTGCTAAATTGGGGTAAGGCTAATTACCACAATATTAGGCAGGAACTGAAGAATGTAGATTGGAGGCAGATGTTTGAGGGCAAGTCAACATATGGTAAGTGGGAGGCTTTCAAGTGCAAGTTGCTCAGAACTCGGTACTGGCACGTTTCTTTAAGGATGAAGGATAAGTGTGGCAAGTTTAGGGAACCTTGGATAATGAGAGAGATATTGTGAGCCTAATCAAAAAGATAAAGGAACTATTTATCAAGGCTAGGAGGCTGGGAACACACGAAGCAAAGGTGGGATACAAGGAAAGTCGAAAGAAACTTAAGCAAGGAGTCAGGAGGGCTAAAAGGAGTCATGAAAAGTCTTTGGCCAACAGGATTAAGAAAAATCCCAAGGCTTTTTATACATATATAAAGAGCAAGAAGGTAGCCAGGCAGACAGTTGGCCCACTCCAGGACAGGAAAGGGAATTTATGTGTGGAGCCAGAGGAAATGGACGAGGTATTAAATGAGTACATTGCATCAGTATTCACCACAGAGAAGGACTTGGTGGATGATGAGTCTGGGGGAGGGTGTGTAGATAGTTTGGGTCATGTTGAGATCAAAAGTGAGGAGGTATTGGGAGTCTTGAAAAACATTAAGGTAGAAAAGTCCCCAGGGTCTGATGGGATATACCCCAGAATACTGAGAGAGGCAAGGGAGGAAATTGCTGGGGCCTTGAGGGAAATCTTCGTATCCTCACTGGCTACAGGGGAGGTCCCAGAGGATTGGAGAATAGCCAATGTTGTTACTTTGTTTAAGAAAGGTGGCAAGGATAATCCAGCTAATTACAGGTCGGTGAGCCTTATATCAGTGATAGGGAAATTATTGGAGAGGATTCTTTGAGACAGCATTTACTCCCACGTGGAAATCAGTGGGCGTATTAGTGAGAGACAACGTGGTTTTGTGAAGGGGAGGTCATGTCTCACTAACTTGGTTATGTTTTTTGAGGAAGTGGCAAAGATGATCGTTGAGGGTAGGGGCAGTGGATGTTGTCTACATGGACTTCAGTAAGACCTTTGACATGATCCCTCATGGCAGACTGATACAGAAGGTAAAGTCACACAGGGTCGGAGTGAGTTTGCAGGATGGATAAAAAAACTGGCTCGGTCATAGAAGACAGAATGTCGCAGTGGAAGGATGCGTTTCTGACTGGACAGCTGTGACTAGTGGCATTCCTCAGGGATCAGCGTTGGGACCTTTGCTATTTGTAATATATATAAATGATTTGGAGGAGAATGTAACTGGTCTGATTAGTAAGTTTGCCGATGACACAAAGGTTAGTGGAATTGCGGATAGTGATGAGGACTGCTGAAGGATACTGCAAGATATAGATCAGTTGGTGACTTGGACAGAGAGATGGCAGATGGCGTTTAATCCGGAAAAATGTGAGGTAATGCATTTTGGAAGGTCTAATTCTGATGGAAAATATATAGTTAATGGCAGAACCCTTAAGAGTACTGATAGGCAGAGGGATCTGGGTGTACAGGTATACAGGTCACAAAGTGGCAACACAGGTGGAAAAGGTAGTCAACAAGACATACAGCATGCTTGCCTTTATCGGCTGGGGCATTGAGTTTTAAAAATTGGCAGGTAATGTTGCAGTTTTATAGAATCTTAGGCCGCATTTGAAATATTGTGTTAATTCTGGTCGCCACACTACCAGAAGAATGTGGTGGCTTTGGAGAGGGTACAGAAAAGATTTACCAGGATGTTGCCTGGTATGGAGGGCATTAGCTATGAGGAGAGGTTGGAGAAACTTGGGTTGTTCTTATTGGAATGACGGAAGTTGAGGGGAGATCTGATTGAGGTCTACAAGATTATGAAGGGCATGGACAGACTGGACAGTCAGAAGCTTTTTCCCGGGTGGAAGAGTCAGTTACCAGGAGCCATGGGTTTAAGGTGCAAGGTGCAAGGGGCAAGGTTTAAAAGTGATGTCTGAGGCAAGTTTTTTTACACAGAGGTTGGTGGGTGCCTGGAACTCGCTGCCGGGGGAGGTAGTGGAAGCAGATACTATAGTGACTTTTAAAGGGCGTCTTGACAAATACATGAATAGGATGGGAATAGAGGGATACAGTCCCCGGAAGGGTAGGGGATTTAGTTGTGATGGGCAGCATGTCGATGCAGGCTTGGAGGGCCGAAGGGCCTGTTCCTGTGCTGTAATTTTCTTTGTTCTTTGTAATGCTTGGGCTTGGTACCTATTCAAGTGGCCAGAGCCAAAAAGCCATTTGTCTATTATCGGCTAGACCCCATATCTGTCTGCCAGAGAATCTGAAACCAAGGCAGCTAAAAATGAGTGCCGACACTAAATGTGGAGTGAGTAATGTAGGCACATGAAAATTTAAATCTTCAGGATCAGCCTCTGACTATTAAAATAGTGGGGTAAATGGAACTGCTGTTTGGTGTGGAAGTAAGGAACCAATGGACGATTAATATTTGTAGTGAGAAACTGTGACTGTTGTAATTTGTGGAGGTTTCTTATAAAAATAAAATATAAAATTGTTTATGGATGTGATAAACCATGAATGTTAACTTCCGGAACGTGAAATAGAGGACAAATGGAGATCAATGAAAAAAAGGTTTGGACAAAATGTCGGGTAAAAATGCTTTTACTTAGCTTGAGAAATATTTAGGATAAGCTGCCAAATTGAAAAAAGAAGTTAAAAACCTCAGGATATTGAAAATGAGTTACTTGTTTCTGTTGGTCCCCGCAGCATCTCTGGTTGGTTGCACCTCCTCTAGGTTTGAGATTCTGAGGGTGAACTCTGTATTTAGCAGGAAAAGCACCACATTCTTGCAATCTGCTTGTTCCATAAAGTCTGGATCACCACCAGTTCACTGTCAGCGAATGCTGGGCAATCCTCAGTTACCTGGACACACATTTGCCAGTGAAATTGGGAGAACTTTGGCAATGATTATTTCCTAGAGGCAACACAGTAAAAGATGTCAGACTTTAAGAGTTTATAAAGTGGGTCAGCCTATGAGAAACATGAAGAAGTGAATGTAGAGTAAAAGAAAGTGCCAGCCTGACCTTTTGCAGAAATCTCTAAGTTAATTTTCCTTGAGGCTACTGCGAAGTATGCAAGTCTCCTTGGATAATGTTTCCTTTCTCCCTCAGACTTGTGAAAAATCTGTTTGAGTTGGCTCGTCAGCACAAACCCTCCATCATATTTATTGATGAAGTTGACTCCCTCTGTGGATCCAGAAATGAGAATGAGAGTGAAGCTGCCAGGCGCATCAAAACGGAATTTCTAGTCCAGATGCAAGGTAAGAGAGCCTTTCTCTCGAGGAATCGTGGCTACTCTAATTCACTCTGAGCTAGACTGCTGCACATTACAAACACCGTTTTGTTACATTAGTCTTTTGCTTGAATACTTGGGTACAATTTCAGTGCCGTTCTGTTGTAGCAATGACAGATTCCCATCTCTTGCACACATTGCTGACAATGGCCAACATCCTTGGGTTTTAAGCACAAAGGTAGGTACATGTAGAGAGGCTCAATATCATCAGAGCAATTCATTTATTTTGCCTTTTTTGAACATGTTAGCCATTTTATTTGACAAAGTAAGTCCAAGGGAGATTGCGTGGTGATAGCACAAATTCTGAAATTTTAATCAACTAACTAAGAAACTCTTTCAATTCATATCATAATCAATGACTAGATTTAGGAACTTGGTAAACATTTCAGAGTGGTAATGTAAATTAGGAGTGGGAGGTGATGACCTCATGGTACTGTTGCTAGGATAGTAACTAGCGACCCAGGTAATGTTCTGTGTCTTATAATTTGTATTTGAATTTCAAGATTTAATTTGTGCACTTGTTAACTAATAAGGCAACAGGAAACACTGTAGTGCAGTAAGTCCGGTAAACTTTACTTGGCTTATGAATAATACCTACTGGAGCCAGACAGTAACTTTACAGGCATACCACGGCTCTTGTTTTCCATCTCACCTTAGGATGCAGGTCGACAATGGGTCTCTGGTCTCTCTCCAGTGACTCGAGCCTTCCACTTCCCACTGAACAGCAGGATAATTTTACTTTAAACCTGATGCACACCTTATTAACTCTTTTCAAGTCACAGCCCACAGCATGATCAATTACATTATGATTGGATTAGTCTAGGCATTCATTTTCTAATCAACCTGTTTGGTATTGCTGTCTCACGCCTCTGGAGCAGGTGGGACTTGAACGTGGGCTTCTTGGTCCAGAGGTGGGGACACTCCCACCGCACCACAAGTACGTCCCCTAGGCAGAGTTTATTGCTAATTGGTTTAAAGGCTGCATATCATTCTCTAATTGCTTCTTACGGATATTGGACATTGATGTCACCTCCGGCTATCTCCTTACTGATTCCTTAAATTTTCATTTATCCATGGATCCGTCCTCTTTTATGTTTTGTTATTGTCATTTTAAGACTTTGACTAAGGTTAGAGGATAGTTTGAATTTTTTTTAACATTTTTGTCAACGAAACAAAGGATGCATATGCAATCAGAGCCCAACAACTTGGGTATCCATGGTCCTCTGGAACCTTCCTCCTCTCCCCTTTCCTCTGACTCCACCCTCTCCCCCAACACCACCACCTGTTGGGTATTCACCATCCCACCTAACCTTCTGCTCTCCAATGCTGAATGTTCATATTCAGCAAAGGCCTCAGCTTTATTCCTCTGCATCCTCACCTTAGTGAATTTCAGGCATGACATGACGCTGAACTCTTCCGCTGTCTTCGCCTCTGTGCCCATTTCTTTGGACAAGAGTCCTCTCTCTGTCCCACAGACCCCTTGGCCCAGTTTCAACACTCTCCTTCCACCTGGACCCCTCCCTCCAGCCTTTTACCTGCACTCGGTCTGTTCTTTGAGAACTGTCAACATGATATAGGTCACCTCAATTTCTCTGCCCTCCACCCCCCCCACCCCCCCAACTTCTCTGCCCTCCACCCCCCCCAACCCCACCACCTCACCCAATCCAACCTATCTCCCTCTGAACTGACTGCACTCCATGTGCTTAGATCTAACCCTGACTTTGTTATTAAGCCTGCCAATAAGGGTGGTGCTGTTGTAGTCTAGTGCACTGACCTCTATCTTGCAGAGGCTGAGCACCAGCTCTCAGATACCTCCTCCTACCTTCCCCTGGACCATGACCCCACCATGGCACATCAGGCCATTGTATCTACTACTATAACTGATTTCATCTGATGATCTCTTCCCCCCCCCAACCCCATCCCCCCCCCCCCACCCACACTAGCTCCAAGCTGATACTGCCCCAGCCCCGCACATCTCGCTTCTCCCTCCTTCCGAAAATTCACAAACGGGACTGTCCGGGTAGACCCATTATTTCAGCTTACTCTTCCCCCACAGAGCACATCTCATCCTACCTTGACTCAGTCTTTTCTCCCCTGGTCTAGTCCCCTGCCCACGTACATCCATGATTCCTCTGATGTTTTACACCACTTTGAAAATGTCCAGTTTGCAGGCTCCAGCTGCCTCCTCTTTACCATGGGCGTGCAATCCCTTACATTTCCATTCCCCACCAGGAGGGTCTTAAGGCTCCCTGCTTCTTCCTGGAGCAAAAATCTGAATCATCCCCATCCACCATCACCCTCCTCCGCTTGGCCGAGCTTGTCCTCACCCTCAACAACTTCTTTGACTCCTCTCGTTCTCTTCAGGTAACAGTGGTGACCACGGGTACCCACACAGGCCCCAGTTACACCTGTCTCTTCATGGGTACATGGAATATTCCTTGTTCCAGTCCTATTCAGGCCCCCATCCACAACTCTTTCTCTGATATATCAATGATATCATTGGTGCTGCTTCCCTCTCTCACCTGGAATTGGAAAAGTTCATCGATTTCACTTCTAATTTCCACCCTGCCCTCACTTTCACCTGGTCTATCCCTGACTCCTCCCTTCCATTCCTCGACATCTGTTTCCATTTCTGAGGAAAATCTCCATTACAAACCCACTGATTCCCAGAGCTACCTGGACTACACATCCTCACACCCCACTTCCTGTAAAGACTCCATCCCATTCTCTCAGTTCCTCTCTCTCCGTCGCATATGCTCAGATGAGGCCAACTTCAACAAGGGAGCCTCTGACATATCCACCTTCCTCAACCGAGGATTCCCCAGCTCCGTTGTTGACAAGGCCTTGAGCCAGGTCCGACCCATCTCCCGCACTTCCGCCCTCACCCCTTCTCTTCCCTCCCGCTACAGCGATAGGGTTCCCCTTGTCCTTACCTACCATCCCACCAGGATCCACTTCATCAGATGCCATTTCCGCCACCTCCAGCGAGATACCACAACCAGACACATATTCCCCTCACCACCCTTGTCCACCTTCTGCAGGGACTGTTCCCTCTGGGACATCCTGGTCCACACTTCCTTTAACCCCCAGTACCCCCTCAAAGGCCCATAGCACCTTCCCCTGTAACCAGCGAAGATGCAACATCTGCCCATTTACCTCCTCCCTCCCCAGTATCCAAGGGTCCAAATATACCTTCCAGGTGAAGCAGCACTTTACCTGCACTTCCCTGAATCTAGTCTACTGCATTCGCAGCTCACAATGTGGTCTCCTCTACATTGGGGAAGCAAAGTATAGACTAGGTGACCACTTAGCAGAACATCTACGTTCTGCTCTCAAAAAAGACTGAAAGCTTCCAGTTGCCTGTCACTTTAACACACCACCCTGTTCCCTGGCCAACGTCTCTGTTTCTGGCTTGCTGCAATGTTCCAGTAAACCTCAACACGAGCCGGAAGAATAACACCTCATTTTCCGCTTGAGGACCCTGCAGCCCTCCGGACTCAATATTGAGTTCAATAATTTTAGGGCCAAACTCTCCCATGTCCTAGCCCCATGCCCCACACACCAGGCCTTGTTATCACGTCGTCTGCCATTACACACTACCTATTGTTAGTCACTAACAGTCCCCCATGACAGCTATTCACCTTCCTAGCCTGATCGTTATCAACTCCTTTGTCTATCCAGCTGCTCTTCTCTCTCTTCGGGCTCTATCCTATGGTTTACTGCCTACCTTATTCCACTCCCTAACTTCTGCATATAAAACAATGTTTTCCCAGCTATGGTCAGTTCTGAGGAAGGGTCACCAGACCCGAAATGTTAACTCTGATTTTTCTCTTCACAGATGCTGCCAGACCTGCTGAGCTTTTCCAGCAATTTCTGTTTTTGTTCCCATTAAATCAGACACTTACTTATCACTGACCATTTGCTTTTTTTTAAGTTTGTTTTTGTTTCTGCTGTGTTTGAATGCTTGGAAACAAATTCATGTTACCCATTCTACTTTAAAGATGAAACTAATACAGAAGATCAGAAAGTGCTAATATAAATGCGAAGTACAGGATGTAAAAAGAGTGAAATAATGAAATATTCTTCACTATACAGTCTTGAGTGATGAAAGTCCAAAGGATCATATATTTACAAATTTAACCGTTGTTATGGAGATAACTTTATAATGTGTAGTCACTTGTAATCGTCTCATTGCTGAAACAAATTAAAACCATATGGAAACACATTTGACCATGATTTCTTGATGAGAGTTAACTATTTGGGAGTATATCAACACTGCCTTTGGTCTTGAAGAATGCATGTTCTCAGTCTTGCGTGCTTTGTTTTGGCAGAAAGAACGCAGAGAGGCATTAAAAGATACAATTGTGAAGAGGATACAGGATAATGGGGAGTTGAGTGTAAATGTGCATAAATCGTTAGAGATCAGGCAGGTAGTAAATGCAGTTTAGGAAACATACATTCTAGACTGTATTATTGGGGCATCTCTAGGAAGTTATTTTAGATTTGTACGAGACATTGGAACTGGAATGTTGCATCCAGTTCCAGGTGCCACACTTGGAGAAGAATGTGAAGGCATTTGAGTGAATGCAGGAAAGGTTTACAAGAATGGTTCCAGGGATGAGGAACTTGAGTTCCATAAAATCCCTACAGCGTGGAGACAGGCCATTCAGCTCAACGAGTCCGAAAAGCATCCCACCCTCCACGCCTCCACCCCCCCCCCACCCCCCCCCCCCCACCCACCCCTCCCACCCTCCCACCCTATTCCTGCACTTCCCATGGCTAATCCACC